TATCTACTCTAAATGACATATCTTTCTACGGTGCATTGTCTTTTCATTTCTGAACGGCTGTAGAAGTAAGTTCTTGCTGAAAGTTGTCTTTTCCTTTTCAGTACGGTAGAGGCAGTTTGGGACCGACTTGGTACCCCTATCACGTTGGTCCTGGTCCACGGCCTACTTGGGACCACTCGGGACCCAGTGGGACCAGGCCCAACGGGACAGGTACTTTTGGGCCCAGATCTGTTGCCGTCCGAGCATTTCTTTGCTGCGCGGAACTTGGGGGACATACGGACAGCAAGGGCATCCCTTTCAAGGGGATCTTGACTGGCCTTACCGCATGTTAGCACATACCGCCCTGCGTCTGACTCGGCGACCATCGGCACCCCTCGAAATCTCCATTGCTGCAGTTAGTCTTCTTCGTCTGATTTATTGTGATGACATGTCCTCTGTCAGGTTAGACAAGAGGGGATCTCCAGCTGATCTGATCGGGCCCGTTCTATAAATCAGACCTCTCTGGTGTTTTTTTTTTTTTTTTTTTTTTTTTTAAATTCTTCTGCTGCGTGTCACACTCTAAGTCCAAATGATTCACCGCTCCGGCCAGGAGTTCTACCTTCTTCTCTGAGTGGTTTTCTGTTTGTAACTTTTATCTGAACTATCTATGTCCAGTATCGAGACGCGTGCGCAGACAGCGAAGAGAGAGGAAAGGGAGAGAGAAGGTGTGTTGTTTGAGAGTGTGAGAAGGGGTAAGAGGAGTGTTCGTCCAAACGCGAGGAGAGAGCGGACCCCTCTTGAGAGTTCTGTTGACACCCCTTCCTCCGGCATGGCGAACATCACACCTGCCCAATGGCAGGCCATGCTGGATACAGCGGACGAGAGCCAGAAACCATTCTTTCAAAAACTGTATGATGATGCCGTGCAGAGGGAAAGGGAGGCATCGGCAGCAGCTAGAGCCGCCGACATTGCTGATCAGGTGGCTCTCCTCCGGATCCCGGAAGCCAATGCTGACCGGTTCCGGGAGGAACTAGCTGCTGCTGTAGCAGCCTTGGTCTGACTGCGGACCTTGGAAGACTTTGAGTCTCGTATGACAGCACTTGAGCAGCAGAACGAAGAGCTGCAGGCCTTGGTCTGACTGCGGACCTTGGAAGACTTTGAGTCCCGTATGATAGCACTTGAGCAGCAGAACGAAGAGCTGCAGGCTAAGGTAATTAGCCTTGAACAGTCCCAGTTGTCTGCTTTCCGCCCTCCTAACCATCAATCTGCTGTAATCCTAGTCTCTCAGCCCAGCACAACCCTCGTTCCAAGGGCCAGCGGAACTGCGGTAAGTGCAGGAACCGGTGCAAGCTCCTCAAGCGGCAGCACCGGTAGTTCTGCATTGATCGCAGTCCCAAATGCAGGGACTTCAGCCCAAAACGCCACAGTCCTTACTGGCGTTCAGTACAGCGGTCCCATGGTGGACAAGCGGGCGGCCACGCTGCCGTCCAAGTACGACGGGAAGGCTGACATCACCTCTTGGATTAGTTCCATGCGGTCATACTTCGAGGTCATGCGGACACYGCAAGAGGACCGAAGTATGACCATGGGAACTAATACCGAGTCTGCCGTACGAAACCACATTGAGCTCCAAGCTGTTGCTGCAGGCTATGCACGCATAGACCTGACTGATTGGCTGAAGGTCACCCCTGTTCGCACCCTTGAGGATCTTCTCCTTGATCGGAATCAGGATAAACATGCTGCTCTCAAGGCTAGACTGAAGCTTGAGGCCCTCAAGGGCCAAACATGGAGGTCATCCATGCAGGCTTTGGAACAGCACCTGACTGGCCTATTCACCACTCCGGATCTAGGAATGACTGACGTGTCTTGCATGGATGTAGTCATGGGAGTGGCCCCTAAAGAATACCTCTCCCTGCTAGCACTCAAGGACCATGCTACCTGGCGAGAGCTCATGAAGGACCTAGTTGACCTAGAGGCCAAGGACCTCGCCAGGCGCAAGAAGGCGCCCGCTGCAGGTGGGAAACCACAACGCAAGCGGTTTGGAGGCAGCAACCAACTTGCACTGCATGATCATCGGGAGCTGACGATCAGTCCTATGCGGATGATATGTCTCTAGATGACGATCTAGAGTCGGACTCCGATACGGGTTGTTCCACATCAGTCATTGAGTGTGACCGAAATGATGACGAAAAACTTAATGCATTCAGAAAGACTGCTTCAAATAAGGGGCCTAACCGTGGTTCGGGTAAGGGAACAATTATACACCTTCCCAAGAATGCTAAGATCCCTGAGAAACCGGAGGACGCTTCCACCAAACCTTGGGAAGCCATCCGCATCAGCCAAAAAGAATGGGAAATAAGATCCAAACTGCGCGTATGCTTGCATTGTTCAAAGCCTGGGCATGCTGTGCAGGAGTGCTATCGTCTTCAGGGAAATAGGCAAGGGGCGTAGAGGAGTCATCAGCACTCTCTACAGCAAGGGAAGTTGGGCAGTCAGTTGCAGGCCCTTCCGAGGAGCCTGGATCTGATCAGCAGCGTTCTCTTGAAGCCCAAACTAATGTTGAATCCAAGGCTGACGCAGTCCAAGTATTGTACACTGAGTAAAGAGGTCGACCTCCACGCCCACATGAAGCATTGGCTGCAACTCAAGCAGCAACGCCGTGTTCAAGGGAGCGTGAAGCTGATTCTCTTTAAACTACTCATTAACCGTCGATACATCCGTGTGCTGATTGACAGTGGTTCGATCACTAATTTCTTCTCTCCGAACGGGATTCGTAAGGCGGGCCTGGGTATGAAGCAAGTGGAACTGCAGAACCCTTGCCGGACTCAGGTGGGCAACCAAGAGGTTGTCACTTCTACTCATGCTGTCAAAGGTGTGCGCATCACCTTTGACAAAGATCGCACTGTCACACATGAGCTGAATTTCTATGTCCTAGACAAGTGTCCTTTCGACGCGGTCATTGGCTTGGGCTGGCTAAAGGCTCATTGCCTAAGGACCACGTGGGCAGACAACCAGTTCGTGGTACTTGATGCCAAGGGGAACGAGCATACCGTCTTACTAGACGAGACGCGCGAGTCTCCTGTGACTCTTCTCAGTGCTAACAAATTCTGCAGGTCAGTGCGCAGGCGCAAGGAAGCTGAATTTGTACATATAGCTCTTGTAAAGCCTTTCCACGTGCCTTCTACTTTTGCTGCATTTTCTACCTCTGAAGGTAATTCTACCTCTAGTACCTCTACTTCTGTTCCACCTAAAATCGAGGTAATAGAAGGGAGTGTTCCTCCGAAGGGCTGCGTCTATCGCATGGGACAAGGCGAGTTGGAGGAGCTGCGGAGACAGATTGATGATATGATTGATCGTGGATGGATTAGGCCTAGCGAGTCTGAACTTGGCGCACCTGTCTTGTTTGTGCCGAAGAAAGGAGGCAAGCTCCGAATGTGCATTGATTATCGTGGCTTGAACCGGATCACTAGAAAGAATGTGTACCCTTTGCCTCGTATAGATGATCTGTTGGATGCAGCCGGTGGTTGCAAGGTCTTCTCTAAGATTGACCTCAAGTCTGGCTACCACCAGATTGAAGTCGATCCGAGCGACCAGCACAAAACCGCGTTCAAGACACGCGATGGGCTGTACGAATTCATCGTTATGCCCTTCGGCCTTACGAACGCGCCAGCCACGTTTCAGTCCCTCATGGACAAGGTACTCCGCCACCAACTTAACAAGTTTGTGGTTGTGTATCTTGATGACATTCTGATTTTCAGCAAGTCCATGGAGGAGCACGTCAAGCATCTTGAGGAGGTCTTGCAAGTCCTCAAAGATGCTCAACTGCACCTCAACTTGGAGAGATCTGAGTTTGGTAGGGACAACGTCATCTATCTTGGACACCGGTTGTCTGCGAGCGGCCTTGAGCCGGAGGCAACCAAGGTTGAGGTCATCCGCAACTGGCCACAACCGGCAAATGTACGCGAGCTACGTTCTTTTCTTGGTTTGGCTTCTTACTACCGGAAGTTTGTGCCTAAGTTCTCTGTCATTGCTCATCCACTTTCATGCCTGACTAGTAAGAATGTTGCCTATGCGTGGTGTGAAAAGTGTGAGACTGCGTTCCAAGCCTTGAAAGAGGCTTTGGTGAGTCATCCTGTACTCCGCATTGCGGATCCCAAACTCACGTTCGTAGTCACTACGGACGCGAGCCAGTTTGGGATTGGGGCAGTGCTGCAACAAGATGATGGCGATGGCTTGCGTCCGCTCGAATATTACAGCAAACGCATGCCCAACCACAAGGTAGCTACTTCCACGTATATGCGAGAGCTTTACACCCTGCGCGAAGCCCTCGCACATTGGAAGCACTACCTCTTGGGTCGCCACTTCAAGGTCTACTCTGATCATCAGACCTTGCAGTGGATTCAGACACAATCTGAACTCTCTCCTACGTTGACCCGCTGGCTGCATGACATTGATGTTTACAGTTTTGAGTTGAAGCATAAGAAAGGCTGCTATAATCGTGTTGCTGATGCCCTGTCGCGCCATCCTGAGTATTTGACTTGCCTGGTGGATTCGTACGACCTCCGCAGGAAACTGAAGGAGGATCTGATCGAACACACCGCCAAGGATCCAGACCTTAGTCCCATCCTTGAGCAGCTCAAGGCTGACCCCAACAACCAGCCTGATTTTCATGAATGCGATGGTCTTGTATTCCGCCGGTACGGGAAATTTGATCGCTTGTGTATACCCAACCATGCGCCTCTCCGAACTCATTTCTTGGATTTGGCACATGGTCGGAGTGGACATTTTGGCTTTGAGAAGACTTATGGAAGCCTTCTGCAGCAATTTGATTGGCCAGGAATGAAAGTATCTGCTAAGAAATTCATTGCTGAATGTCAAGTATGCCAAAGAATCAAGGTCCACAGGCATAAGCCTTATGGCCTACTGAGACCTCTCCCCATTCCTGATGGACCCGGTGAGTCGATTTCCATTGACTTCACGGACATGGGAAAGGTGAGTGAGGCTGGGAATTCACAAGTCATGGTCATTGTGGAACGCTTCTCCAAATTTCTGAACTTGATTCCTCTCCCTCCTCATGCCCCGACTGAATTTGTCATAGAAGAATTCCATCAGCAGTACATTCTGCAGTCCGGCGTCCCGAAAACTATTGTGAGTGATCGGGACACCAGATTCATCAGCAAAGATTGGAAAGACTTCACATCTCCGATCTACGACATCAAACTGAACAGGACTTCTGGTCGACATCCCGAAGCCAACGGACTAGCTGAGGAGATCAACCAGACTGTCATCCAATTGCTTCGCGCACTAATTGTTCCAGATCAGAACACGTGGGACAAGGAACTGCACAAAGTGAAGGGGTTGTACAACAACTCTATTCACTCTGCGACTGGTGTGACACCAAACCAATTGCAGTATGGATGGCCGATGCGTAATCCCCTCTCCTACCTGTTCCCCGAACGGTCACCTGGTCTGATGCCCGGCATTCCTGGCTACAATGCCAAGTACGCACGCTTGCTCAAAGCTGCTACAGCAGCGATGAAAAAAGGGTCGACATGCCATGATCAAACATGCCAATAAGCTGCGCAAAGAAGAAAAATTCAAAGTAGGGGATTATGTTTGGGTCAAAATATCTGAGTTTTTTTATGAAGAGGGCATATCACGGAAGCTTCTTCCACTGTACTACGGCCCTTGGCAGATTCTGAAGGTAGTCGGGGATAACTTTGGCCCTTCATTTGTGATTGACGTGCCTCCTCGTCTGCGCACGTATCCGGTCTTTCATGCGTCCAAACTATTCCCACACATTGATGATGAGACCTTTCCTTTCCGGGACACGATGATACCTCGCCCTATCGACGGCGGCCATGAGATAGACAGAATCGTATCTCACGAGGGCGGAGGGAGAAACAGACAGTATAAGGTTCACTTCCTCTATCACCCGTTGACTGAATTCTTCTGGATCGACCGGAAAGAGCTGCTAAAAAGTGCTCCCCGCGTTGTGAACGCCTATGAAAGACAGATCACCGAGGGACAGACCGCTAAGTTCGTAGCAACGATGACTCCTCATGGATTGACCAAGTCTCTTTTTCTGATGTACTCCTACGATGCGTTCTGTACCGACTCTGACTGAGTTACTTCCTCGAAGGGACCTCGCTCTCGAGAGGGGAGTAATGTAATGACCCGCCAAAAACACAGACTCAGAACACTGCTCATTTCTGGGATTTGCCAATGGAATGAATGCCTTGTTGTGATTCCCGCATTCTGCTGTGGTCCCAAGTCTGTGTGTGTGCGTGCCTGCCGGTTTGCATGCCTRTCCGAGTGCTTGCCGGTTGTGTGTGTGTGCGTGCCTGCTGGTTTGCATGCCTGACTGAGTGCTTGCTGGTTGGGTATGTGTGTGTGACCCGCAAGGGTACTTGTTGGTTGCGAGGCCCACCGGGTCGGTACTTACCTGTGGCCATGACTTTGGAGGGTTGCAGGGGGGTAAACACGCCGGTAGCGGGGAGTAGGCCCACGACACTTAGAGCAGCTGGGGRAAAACACTCAAGTAGCAGGTAGGCCGAGCAGAAGAAGACAAAAAGTTGGCATTTTTAGAGGCCCAGTAGCGGTAGGTTAGAGGTAGGCCGGTACCAGTCCAAGTAGCCCGGGTCTAGGGCCTGTGCGGACAATAACAGAGCCTGCAATGATGTTTCCCTCCAAAAAGGAGGAGGTACCGGTTGCCTGGGAGGCCGCTTGGCCTGGAAAGTCACGGCCCAGGAGGCCGGTAGGCCACTATATCTTCACGAAGAGCGGAAGGCTCTTCCTCATTTACGGTATGCAAGGATTGGCGACATGCTGCTGGAGCGCAGTGCTGGACTGAAGCAGCGCTGCTTGGAGGTGAAGGTCCGCTGGGGCTCAGCCTGGCTATGGCGAGCACCCCAGCTTGAGGAGGAGGAAGAAGGGGGCATGGTAGGAGTGGTAGGGCACTTACCTGGCTATGGTGGACACCGTCTTCATCACCTGTTGGGCGCTGCATCTGGAAGGCCCCAGTTGGGGTAGCGCTGCACCAGAGCAGCTCAAGGCAGAGTCAGGCATAGCGGACCAAGTCAAGCAGCGGCATAGCTGCTTTGGGTTGTCTTGGGACATCAGCGCAGCATCATAGCTGCCT